CACTATGAAGGATTACAGTAGTATAAGTGTTTTATTTGCTCAAGGAATGTAGAGTATTCAGATGTGAGAAATGTCCCTCTTGTGTTGGTGAATTTTATAATTTATAAGCGCCTCCTAATAGATTGAGGCGCCTTTCTTATTGCAGGTGAGATAGTTTGATGAAGGTGGCGCCCTTCTCGTAACAGGTGAGACAATTCCGTGGAGGTGGCGATGTACGTGTCACACAGAGATCTCCTCGTGTGTTAGTCGTGAACTGAGACTCTCAAGACGACGCAGCTGACCTAAATCTCTCAAGATGGTGCGGATGACCTGGTCTAGCATCCTCCATCTGTGGTGGGCTTGGCCTGCATTCCTAAATTGGTCCTGGTCTTCGATAATGGGCTTGGTCTGTAATTTTGGGTCTGGTCTGGGCCAATCCCATCATTTGCCCCAAGCCAAATGAAATTTGGGGGAGAGGGCATTAGCAGGGATGAATTTTGTCTCATGCTCCTTCCTTTTTCTTCCATGCCCTCGCGGTTATTGTTTTGAGATTTGAATTCCTTTCGCTAAACTATGTTGGTGGGCACTCTGTTGGTGAAGACTTTCTGTTGTTTTGACTTTCTCCTGGCGAGGCTTATCTCTTACCCTAAGACTTTAGACAGGGCTCCCTTTCCCACTTTGATTAAGACTCTTCATTCCAGACTGTTTGAGATATCTATTCCACCTTGATTAGGAAACTACATCTCAATCTTATTTAGACTCCCAACTTGATTAGGATGTTGTCAAATCTAAAACCTAGGCTATAAATAGGATCCCCTCACATCAATTCTCCCAGCTCAATCTAAGAAAGAATAGAGAGAGGAGGGATGTCAAGCGGATTGGGATTCAAGGAGTGGGCATCAGGTAGGGCGGCACTTAGAAGTGCCACGGAGGATGCAAGAACAAGTGAAGGCACAATGGGTGAGGGCGCAGGCATGGGCGTCGTAGGCAGTGTATGTGTCATGGCAGGCGTTGGCAAGTCGCTATGCTGGCAGGTACGGGTGCCTAGGTAGGCGCGAGCATTGGACCCAACACAGGTGGTAGGCATCTGGGTGTAATCAAATGGGTTGGGTGCCAGGGCATAGTTGCACATAAAGCTAGGTGCTGGAAAATCGACGAGAGGTAATGGTAGTAGTGTTCCCCCATATCCACAACAACGCAAGTATCATGGTAAGGTGGCCGCTAATGACGATGGTTCTAAGGTGAGCACTATTTCTAGCTCTCTTAATACTGATGCTGAGATTGCTAGGATTATATCCAATTTTTCTATTTCTCCTGTGGTGTAATGCCGTCGGGCTGAGATGGGTGAGCCGACCTCTAATGACTCCTCTAGAGACCTTGCTATCTATGAGGAGGTGTTAGCAGCAAGTATAAGGTTCCCAATGCCTACACCCTCATGCCACATAGTGGCACACTCGTCACTCGTTCCGGGGCAGCTAACCCCCAATGGCTTGAGAGTGATGTTGGGATTCCTCGTGTTGTCAAGACGTGTACATGACGAAAGTGTCTCTCTCTCATGTGAAGAGTTTTTCACTGCTTATACATTACATGAGACCCAACTCTTTATCGAGGTCGGTATTACTTTTCTCCAAGGGCAGGGAAGCTGATCACTAGACAACACTCCAACTGCCATAGCTGGAAGAGTCGATTCTTGTTTATAGGAGGATAGTGGGCTACTATGGAGGATCAAGCTTTGGTTCCCATGGGATAGGGCGTACCTAAGAGGATAGGTATAAATTATGCCCATCTTTTTTCTGATTAATGTGTCCCTTTCACCTTCACCATATTTTCAACTCCTTTTCAGGCTTACTAGAGTTGACAATGGACTAAGAGAGAAAGCTATAGGTCATGAGAGCTCATCTTGTAAAGGACTATGGGACCCTAATGTCTAGAGAGGGTCCAACTGGGGGCTCTTCTTCTGGAGGTGATTAACCTTCTTCCTAGGCATACGGCTCTTCCTCCAAGGGGATAGGTATGTCATATTTTATGGAGTCCTTATGACAATATTTTCAACTTTTGAAGCTAACTCCATTTATTCTATTTCCACAATAAATAGGTCTAGGGTGGAGGCTTTCTACTCCACTAGGGTTGCACAAGCGACTCCTCTGTATGTTCCTGTTGTTTAGGCACCTTTACCAACCACCTCTCCAACTTGGACATCTCCGAAAGCAGGCATTCACTCTTCTGCATAGAATGGGGTGCCACGTGTTTCTTTTGTGTCCATGCTTCAAGATATGAATGTTGCCAAGGACTGGCTTTCAAGGTTGGTGTCACCCTTGGAGATCAGAGAACTTAGCCATTAATTACCGAGGGTGTTATTAATACCATAATGAAGGCTTTGGCTAGGGTAATCATCTGTGGTTTTATGAAATTTTATCCCTCATGTCCTCTGATGACTCTAACCTTTTTCCCTTTTTACATGTTTGTAGGTGTCCACAGCTACTACATGTCTCTTTGCAAAGGTTACCCCATCATGAGCACATATTGAGGGTTCTGATGAAGGAGAGACAGACACTGCGGGTTGTTAAGGAGCAATTGAGGGTGGCACACGAGAGAGTTATACCTCTTGAGGCCAAGATTTTGGCAACTTGTGAGAGAACCACTAAGTTGGAGGCAGACAGTGAGGTTGCCCGCACAAGAATATAGGTAGAGTTGCGGGTAGCTCATGAGAGGACCACTCAAGTTGAGGTAGATCTACGAGCAACTCATGAAAAGGCTTTCAAATTTGAGGAAGAGCTAAAGTCAACCCAGAGAGGGCTATCAGAGCAGAGGCTCACTCCTTAGAGATGGAAAGGAGGAAGGAAGATGATTTATCGGATAGCACTGCGGGCGCCTTTATTGATGGCTACGAGAAATTCAGTGGGAAAGTTTTGACTGCATTTCCCAACATAGACTTCTCAGGATTCGTTCCTTATGAGGATTCAGATGCTACTGATGTTGATGGTGAGGACTTTGGTGATGGAGAGTTAGCTGGCGACAAGGAGGGTGACAACAGTGAGGGTAGTCAAAATTGCGAGCATATTTGATGTTTTTTTCCTCTTTTTTGTTTTTAGGTAGATAGCATCAGACTATGCTCTACTTTTGTGGAAGTTTCTTTTATTTCCAAATTTCTTATGAAATGAAAAACAAGGCAAATTTGAAATAGATTCACAAAACTTTTATTTGATAATTGCTTATAATAAAAAATGGTGGGTGGTATTCCCAAAAAAATTATTTGGTAATCCCAAAAAAGGTACAAGTCTAGGTTTAAGACTAAACAAAGTCCTAGAGTTTAATTACTCTAGTTCTTCTCGAATTATTGATAGTACCTATTCAGATGTTTAGCATTCCATGAATAGGCTAAGACCTTTCCTTCAGAATTATGGATTTTTAAGTGTCTAGCCTCACAATTACCCTTCCCAGTTTGGTCCTAAATTCCCCTCGCATAAGTTTTTAGTGGCCAGTATCACCTTCTTAAGGACTAAGTCAACAGGTAAGAAGGAGCAAGACTTCACCCCCAATTTATAGTACTTGGTATGCGGCTCTTTTATTCCGCATTCTTGATCAATGTCATATCTCTTTCCACCTCTATCAAGTCGAAGTTGACACATAGGCCTTCATTGGTGAACGGTTCATGGTGTTGGACCCTTAGTGGATGTATCCTGATCTCGATAGGTATGACTGCTTTTGTCCGAAAGGCGAGAGAGAAAAAAGTCTCACCAATGGGGCTCCTTGGCATTGTCTGGTAGGCCCACAGCACTCCCGGGAGCTCTTCCACCCATAATTCCTTGGCACTTTTCAACCTAGTCTTTAGATTGAGTAGTATGGTCAGTACAATGACTTTGGCATGTCCGTTTGCCTAAGGGTGGCCTGGACTGGAGTGGGGCGTCCTCATTTGGAGGTCGGCACAGAAACCATTGAGGAGCTTGTTTATGAATTACTTGGCGTTGTCGCTCACTATGGCATAGGTATTCCAAAGCGGCACACCATGTTTTTCTAGATAAAGTCCTTAACCTTTTTATCTATTATTTTGGCTAAGGGCTCAGTTTCAGTCTACTTTGTGAAGTAGTTGATAGCTACCACCAAAATTTTATATTGGTCATGTCTCATGGGCAGAGGGTCTAGGATATCAATGCACCACTTGGAGAATGACCAAGGACTTATGATGGTGGTCAATTTTTTGGTGGTTGCCTTGGCACAGTGGCGAAGCGTTGGCAATTGTCACACTTCTTCACAAACTCCCAAGCGTCTCTAATCATATTAGGCCAATAATACCCTTGTCTGACTACCTTATGAGCTAGAGAACACCCTCTATAGTGATTTTCATATACTCTCTTGTGGATTTCTCTCATGGTATAGTCTGATTTTTTTAGAGAGACGATGGAGTAATGACAGTGAGTAGCTACTCTTGTAGAGGATGTCTTACAGGATGACATATTTTGACGCCCTTAGCCTTAGCTTCTTGGCTTTCACTGCCTTCTTCTAGATACGCCTGGATGTTTGTTATCTAGTCGTCGTCGATGGATGCACAGTTGACGCTTCCTATATCTATTTTAAGCCTACTTGGCTCAAATTGGTGACTCATAAATATAGGACGTGGTGGGATATTTGAGGATGATTCAAACTTGGCAAGTGCATCTGGTATGACATTATCCTACCTTGGCGCATGTTGAATTTGGAAATAGTGGAACTTGTTTAGTAAAGTTTGTACTATTGTTAGGTACTCCTGCATCTTCTCTTCTCTAGCTTTGAAATCTTGCTTTACTTGGTTAACTACCGATTAGGAGTCATTTTAGACGGTGACTTGATCGGCCTCTATTTTAATTGTCAGCCTTAGGCTTGAGATGAGCACCTCATGTTGTACCTCATTGTTGGAGGTTGCAAAATGGAGTGATACGACGTATTTGAAGGGTGCGCCATTGGGGCTAATGAGTATTAGGCCTACTTCACTCCCCTCATTGGTTGAGAACCCTTCTACATGATGTCTCCAGCAAGGCACGACATCAAGGGCTACGGAGGTGTCGGTAGTTGGAGAGGCCTACACAACAAGTAGTAGGGCACCGTGCTTGGACATGGAGGAGGAGTGTGTCAAGGTTCTTGGGGAACAAGGCACCAAGGCGGAGGTGCCTAGGGAGCAGGGTACCCAGGTAGCTAAGCGCTAAGGCCAAGGCACCTAGGAAGCTGGGCGCCAAGGCAAAGGTGTTAGGGGAGATGGGAGAGGTGCCTAGCATGCTGGACCAAAGACAGGCAAGCACTAGGGCACTGGCTCGGAGGTAGGCAAGCGCTGAGGTGCTGGCCATGGGTGCTGGTTCTTCCTTGCTACCTCCCTCCTCAAATGGTGTGTGCTTAGCCATAAAATCTACTAACTCTTGTGCCTTGATGGCCCCTCTTGGTTAGTACTACACGTTAAACTTGCCCAATACAATAGCCCATTTGAGAAACCTTTCGGTCATATCTAGCTTTCCCAGTATTCTTTTCAATGGTTGATTTGTGACGACCATGATAGTGTGTCTCTAAAAGTAGTGCCTAACTATCGCGATTAGGACAAGAGCTAGCTTCTCCAACCTTAAGTATCTTATCTCTGGTCCTCGATAAGACCTGCTCAAATAGTAGACAAGCCTTTGCATTCCTTCATCTCCCTGACAATGACGGAGCTTACGACAGATAGCGAGACAATCATGTGTAGGCATAAGGTCTCTCCGGGTATGGGGTGGGAGAGCAAAGGGGTGCAGCAAGATAGGCTTTCAGTTTCTAGAAAGCTTCTTTCGTGTCTGGTCCCCACTCAAAAGCCATCAGGGGGATTCTGAAAAAAGGTAAACATTTATTAGCAGACTTCGAGACGAGTCTATTATGAGTTGCAACTCTTCTGTTAAGGCGCTGGACCCCTTTTATAGTGGTGGAGGACCTCATGTCTAGAATGGCCTTGATTTTGTTTGAATTTTTCTCATTTCTCCTCTTAGTGACCATGAACACCAAGAATTTTCCTGATCCTACGCCAAAAGGTGCACTTCTCAAGATTCAATTTCATGCGATAAGACCTTAAGACTTCAAAGGTCTTCTGCAAGTGGGTCATATGGTTTGTTGTGACAAGGCTCTTTACTAGCACGTCTTTTACATATACCTCCATAGTTCTCCTGAGCTGTGACTGGAACATCTTATTTACCAATCTTTGGTATATTGCTCTTGCATTTTTTTAGCCCAAAGGGATGACCCTTTAACATTATGTCCCTTTGGGAGAGATGATAGATGTGTATTTTTGTTCTGGGCAATATATGCTAATTTGATTATATCCAGAGTAAACATCTAGGAAACTAAGTAGCTCATGACCAACTGTGGCATCGATAAGGATGTCGATGCATAGGGAGGGGTAACTATCTTTGGGATAGGCCTTATTAAGCTTAGTGAAGTCCACGCAAAACGCCACTTTCTACTGATCTTGGTCATCATCGCAACATTGGATAGCCAGATTAGGTAAGCCACATCTCTCACCCAACTATTCGCTAATAGCTTCCCCACTTCTTTCTCCATGGCTTGCGCCCTTTTAGTAGCGACACTTCTTAGCTTTTGGAGGACAAGGTTGTGTTGGTGATCAACGTTGAACTGGTGGGTGGTGACTTCAAGGTCAATGCTTTCAAGGTCTTTGTGAGACCAGGCAAAGACGTCAATGTTCTGTCTGAAAAAATCAACCAACTATTGGGCTCGATTTTGGGAAACCAGGAGTCAATGTAGATTCTCCTGATAGGAAAACTTTCGTCAAGGACTATTGGTGCAAGCTCTTTGCTGAGGCTTTCTAGTCCTCATAGAGGTAATATAGCACTCCCTAGCAGAAACTTGATCTCCTCAAATTTCTCCAATTCCACGTAGGGTTGGAAAGTGGAGAATGAGGTGATAGGTGGATGACACCCCCCTTAGGGTGTTTAGTGTGGGACGCCTTAATATAATGTTGTAGGTAGACGTGGAGTCCAACACTAAGAAATTCATCATTATGGTGGAGCTTCTTGGTGATGTAACCACAGTAACTGGTATAGTGATAGAGCTTAGGGGGAACGCCTTTTTTCCTGAAAAAGCGATAAAAGACGTTCGGATTGGTTGAAGTCTCTCCCTGCCAAGATGGAGGTAATCTTATGCCTCTACAAACAGGATGTTGGCATAGCTGCCACTGTCCACAAGGATCCTCTTTACTTGAAGTTGGCGACCATCATGGTGAGCAATAGCAGGTCGTCATGGGGGTGCTAGATCCCTTTCAAGTCTTTGTCTGAAAAGAAGATGACCTCTCCATTTCCCTACCTATGAGACTTCAACAGACATAGGTTATCCATGTGCCTAGTCTTTCTGGTGTATGCCTTCTTGACTGAGTTAGAGTCACCTCCTCCTTCTAGCCCTTTGGAGATCATCTGGATTTCTCCTAACGGCTATTGGTGCTCTCTCTCATCCTGGTTGTGACTTGGTGGTGAAGTCTGGCCTCTATTTGCCACATATTGCCATAACTTACCACGCTGTATAAGGTCCTCAATCTACCTCTTGAGTTCAAAGTAGTCATTAGTGTCGTGGTCATGATCGCAGTGGAAACAATAGAATTTGTTTAGGTTCTTACGATTTGGGGCAAACTTCATTTTTCCTGACCAGCGTACCATAGGGTGGTCATGAATTTGGAGAAAAATATGCTTAACTGAAGATTTATTCTCTATTTCTCTCATATCTTCATGGGACTCCTTCCTCTTCTCCCCTCCACGGAAGGACTCACCTCATATGGCCTGGTTGTTGCCCTCAGCGTTCATATATTTATGAGCTTTTGACAATAATTTTGGCATGCTCTTTAGTGGTTTCTTCAACACCGAGACCATAAAACTAGATGAACATAGGTCTACGATAAAGGTAGCCATGGTGACTTTGTCATATGGCTCTTTGATTTGGAGGGTCTCCTCGTTAAAAAGAGTGAGGTAACTCCTTAGGATTTTTTCCTAATCTTGCTTGATGCTGAGCAAATGGGTAACAGACTTCTGATGTCGGCATCCCCTTATGAAGTGAGAAACAAATGATTTTCTTAGTTCAACAAAAGAATTAATGAAAGCTGGTTTGATTTTAACGAACCACTAGCATGTAGATCCCTTGAGGGTAGTAGGAAAGGCTCTGCACATTATTTCACCTGGTATGTTATGCAATTGCACGAGAGATTTAGAAATCTCAAGGTGGTCCAGTGGATCTTTTGAGTCGTAGAAAACTTTCACAGTTGGCATCTTGAACTTTGAGGGGAAGGGATAATTGGTCACATCAACCACGAATGGAATGCCAATACGCCTAACAAGGTAGTCGACTATTTCTGGCGTTCGCGCCTTGATGGCGTCGAAGATTTTGCCTAGCTGATTTTGCACCTCCGTGATTTTTTCATCACATTGGTTAGGGACGCCCTCTAAAGGATCATTATAATGGCTTTCGTGGTCCATATACTAGGTGTTGAGGAGGGGTGTCCTAGCGCTGGGGGTGCCCTAATGCTGGGGGCCTTGGGCATATTACTTGGGGTTCTTCCCCTTCTAGGGACTAGGGCACAATTCCTTGAGGGTGTTTAACAAGCATTAACTAGAGAATCTGTTGGTTTTAGTTCACCAATAGCTACATTGTCTCCAGTAATTGTGTCCGTCCATAGGATTTACTGCAGCGACAGGCTTGCTGGCGGAGGTGAGACCTCCCACAATGTGGTGCATCATTGTCTTTTGTTTGTTGATTCATGGACCTAGTTGTAATAGCCATAAACACACAAAAACAGTTTGGTGGAAACTAAATAGGTTTTTGCAGATGGCGCCAAACTGATGATGTCCAAAACGTATTTATACACCACATGTTAATTATTTAATGCATTAATTAAGAAGGAGACTCAACACAAGTAAACACAAATTAAGTGGTTCAGTCAGGGTGACCTTCTCCATTATGAAAGGCTACGGTGGCTTGAGTGTTTTATTGCTAAAGGAATGTAAAGTGCTTAGATGTGAATGATATGTGAGAGATACCCCCTTGTATATGTGGGACTTACAATTTATAGGCTCCTCCTAACAGATTGAGGCGTCTTTCTTGTTACAAGTGAGGTAGTTCGATGGAGGTGGCGCCCTTCTCATAATAGGTGAGACAGTTCCGTGGAGGTGGCAACATGCGCGTTCCACAAAGATCTCCTCGCGTGTTAGTTGTGGACTAAATCTCTCAAGATGGCATAGCTGATTTGGCTCTCTCAAGATGGTGCAGATGAACTGATCTAGCTTCCTCCATCTGTGGTGGGCTTAGCCTGCATTCCTAAACTGGGCCTCTAAGTTGGGTCTAGTCTTCGATTCTAGGCTTGGTACGTAATTCTAGGTTTGGTCCATAATTTTGGGTCTAGTCTGGGTCGGGACCATCATAAGTCTCCCAAACACCACCTTAAATTCATTTCTTTCATTCTTAAATTCATTCTCTTTCCTTCATCTTTCATCGTTCAACACACATACCGAAAAACGGTGAAGTAAAAATAATGAATTCAAAAACAGTGAACTCAAAAAATAATAAACTCAACACTTTCAATGATACATTAGGCAATGATCCCTCTTCTTTTAATATCCACAACACCAAAAACATGTAAGTGAAGTACAAATAATTATGCAATTCATTCTATGAACCCAAATCGCCAATATAAATTGAATGTCGCTCAAGTAGCACAAATCACACAACAAAATGAAAAACTAACACAAGCACACACCAAACAATTGTCATAGTCTGTTGATTTTACTAATATCAATAACTAGCAAAATGCTTCTCTCCTGATGAAGCTTTTCCTATCCCCATCTATGGTGGTGCCCCCAATGAAGATTTTCTTCCTTTTTTCCTGACCTCTGATTTCTAACCTAGTAAATTTTTGATTTAGAAAATGTCCTGGTTAACGATCGCCTCGACTTTTCCCTCCTCTATTTTCTCTAGGCTTGCTTGGGGAAAGGGTTTTCTAACTACTGGTTTTCCCCCATTCCTCTTCCTCCAGCCAAAAACCTTTCTGATTTTCTTTCTTCTCTTCTCTTCTCCCCAACTCCCTCTTATCCATTTTCCAAAACCTCANGCCTCGACTTTTCCCTCCTCTATTTTCTCTAGGCTTGCTTGGGGAAAGGGTTTTCTAGCTACTGGTTTTCCCCCATTCCTCTTCCTCCAGTCAAAAACCTTTCTGATTTTCTTTCTTCTCTTCTCTTCTCCCCAACTCCCTCTTATCCATTTTCCAAAACCTCCTTCCATTCCCCAAAGACGTTGCCATATTCCCAGCTTTCCTCTTAGAATCTGGAAATCGCAATCAAATGTCGCACATTAAAGACAGAGACCTTTCTAGTATAAACCCATAAACCATCAA